GCTGTGTGGTGTGTAGAACGTGTGGTTTGTATGCTGTGTGTGGGCTGTGTGGTGTGTAACGTGTGACATGTATGCTGTGTGTGGACTGTGTGTACGCTGTGTGTTGGCTGTGTGGTGTGTAACGTGTGGCTTGTATGCTGTGTGTTGGCTGTCTGCTACGCATGAGCTATGCGCTGCATGCTGCGGCTAAGCTTTGCCAGGTGAGAATTAGCGAGGCGATCAGAGCCCCCCCCATACCCCCGGGGGGGGGGGTGACGGAAACACCGCTGAGCCCCCCCCCCCCCTATCCAGAGTAATCCTCTTGCACGAACCGCCTGGCATGGACCCGTGTGACCCCTTCACACACGTACATGTACAGTTCATACTGGATGCACACTCAAAACAAAGACCCCCCCCCCCCCGTGTAGCCTTAACAGACTGTAGGGGCAAGTGCTGTTAGCGAGCAGCACCTATGAAGGCCGGCACGGCACGCCAACCGGTGTGGGCCGTGAGCGGGAATCGAACTCGGGTAACTGGGTTCGTGTCGCAGCGCCACACAGCATCGATAAAAGATACACGCACAGGCACACACGTGAAGACAAGTGTGTACACACACACGCGCGCAGTGTGCGCCAACTCCTTACCTATAACCCTCACCCAGCCGACTACAGCCCTAACCATCGTATACAGAAACCCTATGCAAACCACTACCACCCTTAGTAGCCCTCAGCCTCGCCACCGTTCCATCTCTCTCTCTCTGTCAACATTCGTCTAGCCAGGGCACGCAGAGACGGGCAGGTGGGACGTTTGGCTGGGGGCCTCAGATCCGAGGGGGCGTCGTCTGGCATTTAGCCCCGAAACTCCAAAAAAAACCACCACATTTCAGTGGCTGGGATTCCAACTCGAATTCTATCCGCCTTAGCCCTAATTATTAGCACGGTTGGATACGTACGGTGCGAAAGATTTTCAACGTACGTACGTATCCCTAAAAACCCTAAACATCCTCGTATCACCGATCGTCTATCCCCAGGTGAGCGCCCTGCAGGTGAGACGCGCGTGGCCAACCGTGCGCGTCGGTGCCTCCAACGCGGCCCCCCGAGCGACACGCGCAGTCGGGTGCGGCGAGATAGTCGGCGACGTGGCACCGGTGGTGGGAGGAATCGCGATGATCCCACGCTGTGTGCCGCACTGATCCCCCCGCATCTCCGATTTGGCACGGGTGGCTAACGTACGGTGCCAAAGAAAAAGTTAAAGTTACTGCACGCCGATTTCTCAACCTCTGACCCGCACACCGCATGGCACACCGGTCCGAACCTCAACCCCACACGACTAGGCGGACGATCTCTCCTTGAACCTCAGGGGGTGGGGGGGGGGGAGTTGGGAAGCCGTGCGTGCATTTCTGAGAAGGGCTTATCGCGAATCGGTACATCGCATCCAATAGTAGCAGTCGTTGTAAAGTAGTAATAATAATAACACGGATGGTGAAAGAATGCGAGCAGCTGTCGCTGGAGGTTACACGGACCAGAGGGACCGGTTTGCGGTGATAAACCCCACGGGGCCACATAACTCGGAGTTAGCAACGTGTGGCAGAAGCCGGCCAGGGCTGCGCGCAGGAACCTCTCTCTCCGTGCGGCAGGAACCAGGCACTGCCGCGGCCCATCAGGAACCACCGGGAAGAACCCAGACAGTGGCAAGAACAATTGGGAACCACCGTGTGCTTGGCCAGGGGAAACCACCCCAATGGCCCCAAATGGAAAAAAAAAGCCACGCGCCAGATTCCGACAACTGGGAAGCCCCCCGCCCCCCTCCCCCCCCCGAACAGCGGAGGTCAGCATTGGGCATCACGAGGGATGAGCAGAGATCGCAAACACGAAACTTTTAAAAAAACTCGCAAATACGTCCCACCGAACATCACCAGACAATATCGCAAGATGCGGCGGGCACGATGTGTGTGTGTGTATACATAGCGAGGCATTACCGTGAGGGCTCCCCCACTCAACCCCGCGCAAAATATACCCAAACATCCCCCAACACACAATCGAATACCAGTGACGCAGCGCGGTTGGCATGGGGGGGGTCTGGTGGGAGGAATGAAACATGGGCTCCCTGGTCAATGTCGGCCACCCCCCCCCGCCGCCGTCTTGGTAAGCAGGGTGCACGCTATGCCACTAACATCACCAAACACGACTAAACACCACCACCACCACCCCACCGCACACCACCACTACCAAACACAAACACCGCTCGCAACAGCAGCATTGATAAACACACCCCACCCAGCGTCTCTCCCATAGTCCGTAGCGACATTCCTTAATTCAAGAAACGCTTGGACCTTCTCGGCCTTTTTTTTGGAGGGGGGCTCTGGGTTCAGCAAACGAGATCAAGTAGAGAGACCCCAAAAAAGAGAGATACCGCCAGGCATTAGTGTGGGGCGGGGGGGGGGTTGACCACCCCATGAGCGACCACCAAACAACCAGCAGCCGTCGCCAGACATCATCACTGGGCGGTGTCTCTATTGCGACAAAGGTGCGCGCGGGCCACGATCCTGGTGGTTGGGTCATTAACAAGCACGCGGCGAGGCGGGGGGGTCAGGGGAGCTGTGCAGGGTGGGGAGGAGATGGGATGGGTGGAGGCCGGTGGGGGGGGGGGGGTCGGCCAGACAATGCAGATGACGGCGATGGGAGGGGGGGGTGCAGACAACTAATTCAACCGCAATGGGGGCCGCATCCCGGCTGTGAGCGGGGCTCGCGAGAAACGGAAGCCCGCCCCCCCCCCCCGCGTCTGGGAGGAAAGCAGAGCGCGCCGATGAATATGACATCTGTGCGCGGCTTCACATAGTGTGTGTGTGCCCTCAGTTGCCAATACACAACTACTGCTGCGACGACTAAAACTCAACCCCCACCACCACCAACAACAACCGCACCAAGAAGACAAAGATCGCCCGTGTAGCCCTAACATCGCAGACCGTCCGTGGGGGGGGGGGGGCACAAGGTGCTGCTAGCCAGCACCTAAGAAGGCCGCCACGACCCCCCCCCCCTTTGTCTCCCCCCCCCCTCCTCCTACTCCCCCGCCGCATGCAGCCACCTTGTAGAGCCCGAGTGGACCTCGGAGAGGCTCTGGGAACGGTTTCAGACATTTGCCACTGATGTTGGCCGTGAGCGAGAGTCGAATACACACACACGCGTGCGCCACGCAACACAAATACATGGGGAGGGGGAGGGGGGGCGGCTCTCATGCAAATGCGGCGAAGAGAGAGGGAGCGGCCCTGCACGGGACGAGGAATACTGCCCCCCCACACACATGGACCGTGGCCACGGCATGCGGAGAGAAAGACGACGACGCAGCAGCGTGTTAGAGACATCGCGCGCTCCAGTTGGGGGGCTGGAGGCAGGGGGGAAGTGGGGTGGGTGGGGGGGGTCTTCACAGGCGGTCAAGCCAGCCCATTAAATACACTGCCCGCTAGCCAAATACACTGACACACGACTCGCCAAATACACCGCCACACTACATACCAAACACACCGCCACTCTTCATACCAAACACACCGCCACACACCTCACCAAATACACCACCACACGACTCACCAAATACACTGCCTCGCGACTCACCAAACACACCGCCACACAGCTCACCAAACACACCGCCACACGACTGACCAAATACACCCCCACACTTCACACCAAGTACTGTATAATACTGCACCACCAGCTCATTAAACACAGAGCCCGCTCACCAAATGGACAGCAAAGCTGAACAAGTCGACAGCCGGCGATATACGCACGGCACCCCGAATACACAACCCCCAGCTCACCAGGAACGCAGCAATCGCGAAACACGCCCAGCTCACCAAACACACGCACACGGTACACCCGTGAAGACACACACACACAATACAACACCGCTGTGTAGCTGTAGGCCCTGGTCGCACCGATATAACCCCGGTGAAGCAGGAGCCACATACAGAGCATCACAAAGACACACACACAAAGACACAGACACAAAAACACACACACAAACACAAAGACACACACACAAAAACACACACAAAGACACACACACAAAGACACGTATGCACAAACCCACCCACACACAAGATCACGGACAGACACGCTCACACAAACTCATACATGCACACACACTCAGACCAACTCATACATACACACACACTCACACAAACGCATACATACACACACACACTCACACAAACTCATACATACACACACACACTCACACAAACTCATACATACACACACACACTCACACAAACTCATACATACACACACACTCAGACACATTGCTAAGAGCCACACGCAAACTAACATGCCCACCCAACACGCACAGACATAAACAGACCAATACACACAGGTATTCAGACACACCCACACCCAAACACTCTTACACACACGGACCGAGACACACACACAGACAGGTATTCTTACACACAACACCAGCCGCAATTCAGCACAAAGTGCGCGTGACGTCACCGCACAGCGCTCGTGCCAGGCTAGGTGCACGTCGCAGCCTTCGCAGGGGCAGCCCGTGCAGGCGACAGACGCAGCTATTCAGGGTTAAGAGGCAGATGCCTCGCCACCTGTTCTCCCTACTATGGGGCACCTCGCGCACACACACAGAGAGACACCCTAACACACACAGAGAGAGACACCCTAACACACACAGAGAGAGACACCCTAACACACACACACAGACACCCTAACACACACACACAGACACCCTAACACACACACACAGACACCCTAACACACACACAGAGAGAGGCACCCTAACACACACAGAGACACCCTAACACACACACACAGAGACACCCTAACACACACAGAGACACCCTAACACACACACACACAGACACCCTAACACACACAGAGACACCCTAACACACACACAGAGACACCCTAACACACACACACACAGACACCGCCTAACACACACACACAGAGACCGCCTAACACTCTCCACACCGAGCAAACAACCGGCTCCATCCCCCCTCCGCGCCCGGCACTCACCCACTTGCAGCACGCTCTCCACGCACCCGCGCTCCAGCAGCTGCAGACCCCGTCGGAACGGGAGCCTCGACTCCGCGTCCTCGGCTCCAGCCGTGCCCCCCCCCGCGGCTGCTCCGCCACCCGGCGGGCCCCCCCCTGCAGAGTCATCGCCGCCGCACAGCATGGAGGAGTAGAGGCGGATCTCTCGCTCGTTCCTCGGGAACGACCAGAAGACGATCCTCCTTTGCACGGGCTCGGGCACGCGGCTGTAGCGAGCCTCCACCTGCTCGTAGGGCCACCACTGCGCCACCGCCTTGGCGCTGAGGTCCAGCAACGACTCGGGCTGCTGCTTCAGCTGCTGCTGCTGCTGCTGTTGGTAGTGGTGGTGGTGGTGCTGGTGACCCGGGGAACGAACACAGATCCTCTTGGCCGGCGGCGGCTCCGACGTGGCCGCGTCCTGAGCCATGGCCTCTGTCGCCCGCGGGGTTTCTGTCCTGTCCTCCCTCTCCTCCCTCTCCTCTCTCTCCTCTCTCCCCGGGATTCGCGGCCGCGGCGCTGCTGCTGCTGCTGCTTGGAGGAGGAGGATGAGGTTTTGTTGGAGGAAGCTCCCGAGAAGAATGAATGAATGGGGGCGCGGGCGCGGGACACGCGGGGTTTAAAGGGACGGCGCGGGTGGGGCGAGTGGGAGGAGCCTCGGCACGAGAGGGGAGGGGAGGGAGTGAGCGAGAGGGGAGGGAGGATGAGAGGGGAGGGAGGATGAGAGGGGAGGGAGGATGAGAGGGGAGAGGGGAGGATGAGAGGGGAGATGGGAGGGGGAGTGAACGAGAGGGGAGGGGAGTGAACGAGAGGGGAGGGGAGTGAACGAGAGGGGAGGGTGAGTGAACGAGAGTGAACGAGAGAGGAGGAGTTGGGATCGTGTGGCTGGGGCGCGATGGGTGTCGAACGGAGCGAGTGGATGGGGGAGGAGAGAAGAGCGAGCGAAGAGTGGGATGGGAGAGGAGGAGGGGGAGGATGGAGGAGACGGGATTGGAGGGGGAGGAGAGTGAGAATGGGAGAGAGGGAAGGACGCGAGGGTGAGAGAGTCAGATGAGAGGAGACGGAATGGGGGGGGGTGGAGGGAAGTTCCCTCCCCTCGCCGCGTCACGCAGCCGAACCCGGGCTGTGTCGTCACGGCGCTCTTTGTTGCTGCGGCCACTTCAAAGCGTGGGGGGAGGGGCAGTGGTGGGGGGAGGGGCTGAGGGGGGAGGGGCTGAGGGGGAGCAAGTTCAGTGCCCCCGGACTGAGCTCTCTGGAGTGGTGGCCGAGCGGTGAAGTCGATGGGCTCGAGATTTGCAAACTCTTCCCGCTACAGGTTCGAATCTTGGCGACTGCGCGAATTTTTATATTATTTTTTATATATCTACTGTCGTGTCAAGTTGACACGACAGTAGATGTATATAATACATACACGCTCGCCACATCGTATTCAGCACGCTTGGCTATGCGGTATTATGTTGGACTTTCTTCGCGCCGTACACAGCCAACCGTGCTCATAATGATGCCCATTCATCACCCACTCGTGGGGTTCGCCGACTCTCAACTTCTCGGCTGGGGGTGCTGCCCGCACTGGGAGTTTGGCGTCACGTGGGAGGGGAGCGGAGGGAGCCCCCCCCCCCCCCACTGCCCCTCCCCCCACTGCCCCCCCCACTGCCCCCTCACTGCCCCCCCCCCACTGCCCCCCCTCACTGTCCCCCCCACTGCCCCCCCACTGCCCCCCCCACTGCCCCCTCACTGCCCCCTCACTGCCCCCCCCGCTGCCCCCCCCCCCACTGCCCCCCCCCACTGCCCCCCCCACTGCCTCCCCCCCCCCCCACTGCCCCCTCACTGCCCCCCCTCACTGCCCCCCCCCACTGCCCCCTCACTGCCCCCCCCCCACTGCCTCCCCCCCCAATGCCCCCCCCCACTGCCCCCTCACTGCCCCCCCCATTGCCCCCCCCCACTGCCCCCTCACTGCCCCCCCCCACTGCCCCCCCCCCACTGCCCCCTCACTGCCCCCCCCCCAATGCCCCCCCCACTGCACCCTCACTGTCCCCCCCATTGCCCCCCCACTGCCCCCCCAATGCCCCCCCCCCACTGCCCCCTCACTGCCCCCCCCCACTGCCCCCCCCACTGCCCCCCCCCCCCACTGCCTCCCCCCCCCACTGCCCCCTCACTGCCCCCCCCACTGCCCCCCCCACTGCCCCCTCACTGCCCCCCCCCCAATGCCCCCCCCCACTGCCCCCCCACTGCCCCCTCACTGTCCCCCCCACTGCCCCCCCCCCCCCACTGCCTCCCCCTCCCCACTGCCCTCTCACTGTCCCCCCCACTGCCCCCCCCACTGCCTCCCCCTCCCCACTGCCCCCCCACTGCCCCCCCCCACTGTCCCCCTCACTGCCTCCCCCTCCCCACTGCCCCCCCACTGCCCCCCCCCCCACTGCCCCCCCCCCACTGCCCCCTCACTGCCCACCCCCACTGTCCCCCCCACTGCCTCCCCCCACGTGCAGTGGCTGTACTGTGTGTACAGTGGCTGTACAGTGTGTACAGTAGCTGTACTGTGTGTACAGTAGCTGTGTGTACAGTAGCTGTGCTGTGTGTACAGTAGCTGTACTGCAGGTTTACAAATGGCGTTGTGACGTGGAGAGACGCGCGTGTGGACGTGTTAATGCCGACTGGTGGGTTACCTGGTTACCTGGGGTTACCTGTCTGCCCGCACCTGTGTGACGACGAGGGTGGCGACTTGAGCTGGTGACGCTGCCAATTGAGTGTCAGGTGAGGGTCAGGTGAGAGGCAGGTCAGTGTTAATGGTGAGATGTGAGGTGAGTGGTGGTAATGGTCAGGTGAGTGTTAATGGTGAGATGTGAGGTGAGTGGTGGTAATGGTCAGGTGAGTGGTAATGGTGAGATGTGAGGTGAGTGGTGGTAATGGTCAGGTGAGTGTTAATGGTGAGATGTGAGGTGAGTGGTGGTAATGGTCAGGTGAGTGGTAATGGTGAGATGTGAGGTGAGTGGTGGTAATGGTCAGGTGAGTGTTAATGGTGAGATGTGAGGTGAGTGGTGGTAATGGTCAGGTGAGTGGTAATGGTGAGATGTGAGGTGAGTGGTGGTAATGGTCAGGTGAGTGGTAATGGTTAGATGTGAGGTGAGTGGTGGTAATGGTCAGCTGAGTGTTAATGGTGAGATGTGAGGTGAGTGGTGGTGGTCAGGTGAGTGGTAATGGTCAGATGATAATCAGGTGAGTGGTGGTAATGGTGAGATGTGAGGTGAGTGGTGGTAATGGTCAGCTGAGTGTTAATGGTGAGATGTGAGGTGAGTGGTGGTGGTCAGGTGAGTGGTAATGGTCAGATGATAATCAGGTGAGTGGTGGTAATGGTGAGATGTGAGGTGAGTGGTGGTAATGGTCGGGTGAGTGTTAATGGTGAGATGTGAGGTGAGTGGTGGTAATGGTCGGGTGAGTGTTAATGGTGAGATGTGAGGTGAGTGGTGGTAATGGTCGGGTGAGTGGTAATGGTGAGATGTGAGGTGAGTGGTGGTAATGGTCGGGTGAGTGGTAATGGTGAGATGATAATCAGGTGAGTGGTGGTAATGGTGAGATGTGAGGTGAGTGGTGGTAATGGTCGGGTGAGTGGTAATGGTGAGATGTGAGGTGAGTGTTGGTAATGGTCGGGTGAGTGGTAATGGTGAGATGTGAGGTGAGTGGTGGTAATGGTCGGGTGAGTGGTAATGGTTAGATGTGAGGTGAGTGGTGGTAATGGTCGGGTAAGTGGTTGTGTTTAATAAACGCGACTGTGCGTTTGTAGATTGAGCTGCTTTCTGCATGAGGGTTTTCGCGAATCTTAATTGACATAAACCAAGCATCACACTTTGTACCCACATTGAGTCCGACTGTCATCGCATCTCAGACGCGGTACGCAGGAGGTCGTGGGTTCGATCTCGACCCTGACGATGCCTACTTCTGCTGCTGTATATTTGGAGTTTGCGTGTCTCTCTCTCATCATCACCATCATCACGGTGGCTAGGAGATGTTAACTACCTCGCCTGGTGTACAGGAGGTCGTGGTTTCGATCTCGACCCTGACGTTGCCTGCTGTATATTTGAAGTTTGCGTGTCTCTCTCTCAAAATCATCAACATCACGGTGGCTAGGAGATGTTAACTACCTCGCCTGGTATGCAGGAGGTCGTGGGTTTGATCCCGACCCTGACACCTGCTGTATATTTGGAGTTTGCGTGTCTCTCTTTCTCTCTCTCCCCGTGGTCGCGTGGGTTTTTATCCGGGTCCTCTGGGTTTTCCCTCTACATTTAGAATCAACATGCGTTTGGAGTCCGTATCTGCTATTGATTTCCACACGATAATCCACTTCGTTGAGCTATCATTTGTGATAGCAAGGTTGCTTCCAAAAAATCGAGCTTTATAACTCAGTGGGCCTTACCTGGTCAAATTAAAACAGAATAACATAGCCCCCTGCCTTCTCCAGCTCCTATTGCAACCCTTCAGGTCCTCTGGTCGCAGAAATCGGCATCAGCAGCGGGGACCTCCCGTCACGGGGTCCGCTGACAGCTTCTGATCACGAGGAGGCTCCGGGCGCGTCCCGCGAGCAGAGCACGTGCCAGAAGTGAAACGCCACGTGCTGCCCTCCGTGTTGACTTGGCTTCTCTCTGCACCCCCCCCCCCCCCCCCCGTTTCCTCCCACACGAAACCAATGAACACTCATAATACTGATAAAAAGGTGTCAGTTTTGTTTCCAGATAAAAGGATAAAAAAAACAATTATCATATTTTGCTACTGGCAAATGAGGTTCCAATGGTGTAAATGCTTACCCCGAGCTCTCATACTCTGATGGTGCATTGTCTTTGAGTTGTGCGCCTTTTGGCGTCACCTGGTCCAACACCAGGGTAAGACTAGGCTCTAAGAAAAGCTGTCTCGGGTGTGGACCAATCAACTTCAAGGACAGTGCATATATTATCAGAGTTAAGTTTTTTGTTTGCATTATGGCTGCAGGTATTGTGGTCTATGCAAACATGACTCCTTGTCAAAAAGTTGTCAGTTTTGTTGCCAGATCAAAGGGTAAAAAAACAATTATATGTTTTACTGGCAAATGAGGTTCCAATGGTACTCATAATACTCTTAGGTTTTTTCGGTAAAGTCACGTAGGTAAAAAATTATATAAATAATAATATCACGACGTTTCGGAGGCAACACAAGTCTCCGTCATCAGGTGGGATCGTCACAGCTAGATTTACTGTATCAAGTGAGGCAAAATTCCAAGAGACAAGCTCTTAAATACAAGTTTAGGGGGAGGGGGGAGGGGCTTATCTGAATGTGGTAGCCATCGAATGGAACGTGTTGGGGGGGTGGGCGGGGCTAAAAGAGAACAATAGGTGCACTTGGGGTTGTAACCGGTGTTGGCTGACAATCCAAATTTTGCCTCACTTGAGACATCTTCTTGGTTCTTTCGGTAAAGTCACGTAGAAGGGAAGTAATAAAATAATAAAAATAAAACATAATAAAACAATTCTCACGACGTTTCGGCCACAACGCAAGCAGCCGTCCTCAGGTGAAAACCAGGTCCGTCGAGGCGACCGAGTCTGAATGAAACAGCACACGGGCTTGGGCCACATGGC